GGAGCTCGAGGGCACGCGGTGGGCGGGCCGCGCGCCGGCGCCGGCGGTGCCGACGCTGCGCCTGTGGTTCAAGTGCGAGAACCTGCAGCGCATCGGCGCGTTCAAGGTCCGGGGCGCGTTCCACGCCGTGGAGAGGCTGAAGAAGGAGCCCGGCTGGCTGGACGGCGGGGGCAGGGAGAAGGGCGTGGTGACGCATAGCTCTGGTAGGTTGCTTCCCCTCGTTGAAAGTTTTTCCTTGCGGTTGAGGCTGGGTGATTGGAGCGTTTCGTGGTATCTATCTATCCTGAAATGGGAGCAGTGGGAGCTTTCATGTGACACATGATGGTCATGAACCACATGTGCTTTGATGGCCTAGGATCGTTCCTATAAAAGGGGGGAACAGCACTTATACTGTGCAACATGATTTCAAATACTTGACCATCATAGATATTGACAAGAGATAGGCAACCATGCCCAGGCACTCGCGCTTGCTGCCAAGGAGAATGGCATCCCAGCCTACATCGTGATGCCAGAGATCTCCGCACCGCCCAAGGTCGCTGCGACGAAGGGGTATGGAGCGACGGTCATCTTTAGCGGGTCGACCAGTGTCGAGCGCGAGGCCATGGCTGACAAGGTCATCGCCGACACGGGGGCGCGGCTTGTGCCGCCCTACGACCACGCCGACATCATCCTCGGTCAGGGCACGCTCGGCCTCGAGCTCCAGGAGCAGGTGGAGGCCATCATGGCCGGCGAGGCGACGGACCGCATCACGGGGGCGACACCCGGCATGGCCAAGAAGGCAAGGGGGGCCAAGCAGAGAAAGGGTCTGGACGCCGTCATCGCGCCCTGCGGCGGCGGCGGCATGCTCTCCGGCGTGGCGCTGTCGTGCGAGGGCACGGGCATCGCCGTCTTCGGCGCGGAGCCCGAGTTCGAGGGCGCCGACGACTGCAAGCGCGGCTTCGAGGCGGGCAGGCGCATCGAGTCGGTGTCGACCCTCACCATCGCCGACGGCCTGCGCACGCCCGTCGGCAGGGTGCCCTGGGGCATCATCTACGAGCGGCGGCTGGTCAAGGACATGTACAGCGCGACCGAGGACGAGATCAAGGCCGCGCTGCGCCTCGTCTACGAGCGCTTCAAGCTGGTTGTCGAGCCGAGTGCTGTCGTCCCCTTGGCTGTGGCACTGTACAATGAGGACTTCCGCAAGATGGTCGAGGAGCAGGCCGGGCCGGAGGGATGGGATCTGGGCATTGTGTTCAGCGGCGGGAATGTGAGCCTTGAGAACCTAGGAAAGCTGTTCAGCTAGAGCAGGAGATGCTCATCCCGGCAGTGGGCAGCATGATAGATCAAGGCGTCAAGACAATGCACAAAGTGGTAAATCGTATGTGGCTAGGAATCGATAGACTTGCTAGACTTTATGAATACGCACATGAGCATCGGGACATCCAATAAAATATACTCGTTTACAAAGCTATGGATGAGTTCGAAAATCTGCACTATGTCTCGCTGGCTTCAGCTGGGCGAAGGTTGTCGTCGTCCTCTTGAAAGCCGCTTAACTGATCGATACATCTAAGGGGCAACTCATGGTATGTTAGGAATTACCCCTAGAGCCCCAGGATCCCCCATCTCCCATAAAAATCCGGACGAAGCAAAGGGGACTGAGACGACGGCACATAGTACGCGGAGACCTCTGACACGGCTCGACCTCGTCATGTCTCAAGCTGTCGAGGCTGTCTTGTCTCTCTCCCTCTAAACTTCTGTATGTAGGAGGTAGCGACGTAACGAGACCGGAGACAATCTCAGCCGCGGCAACTAGAGGGCAGCTCGCTCGTGTGGTCCCCCAGCATTCCAAATGTCCGGTATGATGGCGAGGCTGGCTGCCCTTCCGGTTGGACGCCTTGTCTCAAAGCAAAGTCTATCCGCCATCATCGTACGCAAGCGGCAAGATTGCCGCCCTTGAGACCGGAATGCCCAAATGGATTTGCCAGAAACATGACTTGGGACGGATGGAGGGTTCTGTGCACGCCCGATCAATGGGAGGTCATGTCTATTGAGGCGCATGAGGGTCATGAAGTCTTTTGATTCTCTAAGCTGGAGTAGTAGTCCTTGCTGAAGAGTCCCAAGGCTCTCTCACGTCGCCGTGTATGTGCTTCCTGCGTTTCTCAAAGGTGAATCTATCATAGCAAATTGCCCAGTGCCGTGTGGATATAATAAAGATAATAGTACAAAGCCGTGAAAGAGAGAAAAACATAAGAGTTGATATCGCTGCCCAGAATGAACCGAAACTCCTCAGCCGCTACCGGCTCGCGCGCGTCCTAATATCGATGCTGCCCAACCAGCTGAATACGCCATTTGAATAAGGAAGAAACTCGGTCGATACGACCCCCGCGAGGCCGTTCGATAGATTATTAGATGCTGACTGACTGACAGACATCCCCACCGCGTGTGCTCTTGTTCGTTCGCCCGGAAATCTCTACCGTGCAGAGAGGGAAAAACGCAGGCTCGGTCGGTCGGAAGGGTGGATCCACTTCCGATTACCAAGCCCTTCCGAAGTGCGACCATCTTTTTTCCCACTTATCACCACATTTCCATTAGCTCCTCCAGTGGATCATCACCGTAGCCACGCCGAAAAGGGCAATCCGGCCTAGAAAACCTGGTGCAACCAGAATGCGAACCGCCGAGAGGGAAAATGCTGTGTAGAGTATCTTGCAGAGCCGTCTAGACCACTTGTCTATGTCTGCCGCGAAAATCCGTGATATCTCTATCCCAGGATAGCCCGTAGAAAATGAAGTGAGAAGATATCGCCGGGGGAGTCTTGTCTAAGCGCTAGCCTGGTATAGAAACTGGCGCATTGTCTGAATAGTCGGACTATGACAAGCCCACACTCTCAAAGTCCCGCATCATGACGGCGAGCTGTGCTCGTTTCGCTGCCTCAGCGACCAGTGTGAAGTCTCTGAGGAAGGGATCTGTTGATGGCGTCTTGACGTTGGCTGGTGGGGGAGGAGGGATGTTGTTGGATGGGGATTGCTGGAAGGAGCCGACGGTAGACGTCTGCTGCGTCGTCGGTGAGGAGATGGGTGCGTCCATTTCGATCGCTTTGCGAACGAGACTGCAAGGCTTGACGATGGCGATAGAGAAGGTTGGCGAGGGTGAAGAGACCTGCGAGGATAGTGACCGAGTCTTATATGGACCCTGATCGTGCGTGGGGCTCCAGAGAAGGCCCGCAGCCGGGTTCCGCTATGGTGCCAGGTGTGCCGAAGAAACTCGTGAGACTTGAGACTTGCAGAGTCATGCGCAGCCCCAAAGAGGTAATCGAAAGACGTCAAGTATATGTAAGAAGTGACTGGACGGCAACCGGTTAAAGTGGTGGACTAATATGCTGTGTTTATTTGAAGGGCCCGTGGCGGGATGGCGACGACTTTGTACGACTGGCAGAAGAGACGCCGGTCTGCAGCAGATAACGGCGAAATGCCAAAGATGGGGATCGAGACGGGTTGTCAGGCGTCCTTGGTTTTAATAAGAAGAAGGCGACAAGAGAGGACACGAGGCCAGGGACTCTCTCTTCAGGTCAATCAACTTCACGTGCTGAGTCTCGGAGGGTGACTTGGACTCGACGTGGACTCGACTTAGACTGGGGGGGATCGAATGTGATTAGGCTGGAACAGAGTCTCTAGATGGGTGTGGGGGTGAGACACTATATTTATTGCGAGGCGCCGATGATTCGAAGGTGAAGCAGCAGCGAAGAGGTGGAATAGATCGATCAAGTGGGAAAAGGAAGGAAGCAGGACAGGAGAGGAGAGGAGAGGGCGGGAGGAATCTCACGCGATGGGGGATGATAAAGGATATATGGCTCGCCGCCAGAGATCTGTCACAGAAACGGAGAGGCAAGTCTATCGTAGGTACTACGCAGTAGGTAGACAATAGAGATGGGGGTCACTTCACTCGTCTGGTATCTGGGATGGTACGGTACGGTAAGGTAGGTTTAGTTTACTTGCCTTCGGTTCAATCAAAAGGTAAGGCGGCAACAAGGCACCGTCTAGGCAGGCTGGCAGGGCCCAACACCACCACTCACGTCCTCGTTTGCCTGCCTTTCCCTCTGGAGACTTAGACTTTGGGCCTGGTCGGGTTGCCGAAAAGCAAATCTACTGGCGAGGAGCGAGTCGTCATAACTGGGGAAGGCGGACAATCACAGCACGGCGTCGCCCATCATGACGGAGAGGTACCTGAGGTACCTCCTCGGTACCCTCCAGATGACAGGCGGATCGACGGAGCGAGGAACCACGCAGGGAACCTCGCAGCCAAAACCGCCGCTCCTGCCGCACTTTAGGCTTTGGGGTTGTGGAGAAGGCTTCCCCGGCTCAAGTCGCTCCGAGGTACCTCAGGATTGCCGAACTGGGGCCGGTCGTCTTCCCATCCCCCACACTCGTACGCTCGTGGCATTGCCGCACCCTCCCAGGGAGCCAGGGCCTACTCCTGCGTCTCCTGTAGGCTGTAGCCGTGCCAGTCAGCCGTCGCTCCCCTCTGTAGCGCATCTGCGAGAGGCCCGTAAGCGTCAGATTTACCCTCTGATCAACCCAGATCGCTTGCATCGCTTGGATTAACGCTACCAACACATCCAGATGATGGACGGTGCTGCCTTGGAAGACGCTGGCCCCGATCCATCACGGCCGGGTCGATGCCATCGAGCAATGGATCAGCAGCCTCAATTACATCAAAGCCCTTCCTCGCTTCCGGCTTCTGGTTCCTCGGTCCACGGGCTGGATTAGCGATGTTGACCCAAGTCACAACTGCAAATCACCGACGGTGTAGGTAGTTGCCGCACATGCCCGCGAGCCAGCCAGCTAGGGACCTCTTTCACGTGTGGTTGTACTGTAGCCACGGGCCTGGCTGCGCCTGGAACTGGATGAGCACCTCACTAATCGGGTAGTTGCAAGCACTTGGCTCGACTGGATGGGGGAATTTCACCATGGCGACCCTTCCTGACGCTACCCAGATACCCTGCTGCGTAGCAAGGAACGGTAGCCTCGCTCTAGACTACAGTAGTGGGAAGAGTAGCCTAGCAGTGCCTAGCTCGCCTAGGAACCTACTGCATAGTACACAGCCGCGGGTTAATTCGGAATGTGGTCGAGCGTGAATCCACTCGTCGGTTTATTATTGCACGTTTATTCGGGCCATGTCCGGCATCGCAGTCCCGCCGAGAACCAGCCCGAGGCGGCGAAATAACGATTTTCTCTGCTCTCCTACGCAGCAGAGGGAGAATGGGCAGATGGGGCTCTCTCTTGGCACGGAAATTGATAACGACGCCTCTCTTAGCCTTGGTTTTCCTGACTCTTCTTCACCTTGCTGGCGGCCTGTATATCCGACAGTCGGTCAATATCTCGCATATATTGCTTGCAGCGCTGGCGTGATCTCTTGTTCCGCTGGAGACGTCGTATCCGGAGTGGTGAAATCATTCTTTCATACAGACCACAACTCGCAGCTGAAGCGACATACCGCGATGCTCCCTGCGCTAGACGACGACGGGTCATCCTCGGAACTGAATCTCCCAGCGGAAGAACGCTCCTACAGACAGAGGCAGGCTAAGGTGTCTTGGGAAGCTACGGCTATGGTGATGATCTCTAGACTCTGGTCTATCTCAGATTATCTAGCCTCATTTCTAGTTAGACGAAAGTAGAGACTCCGGACTGAGGTCCGCCCAATTTGCCCTCCACTGCCGCTAGAAACGCTGTAGGAGGGCAGGCTCGCTCCCGACAAAAAAAAGCGGACTGCGTTAGAACTTCACACCTTTCTCTACCAATTTCTCAACAACCACCATATATTATAATATCGGGAAAATCTCATTAAATACTAGATACTTTAATGAGTTATCTGGTATCTTTAAAATTTTCTCAAGTCTTTATTTGTGGTTGTTGAAGCTAAGAGAAATTCCGGGAATTCTGAGGCTTGTCCCAATTTGGCAGAAAACACGGGGTTTTGCGGTGCGCTTTTTTTGGTTGTGAGCGAGGCAGGGTACCTTGCTTCAGGTGTCTGCAAGCACTTTACACGTGGGATTGGCAAACCAGGCGCTACGGCGGTCTATCGCTCGCAATTGTTCCGGTGGCCTGAGTCGCCCAGGAGTCGATGTACTGGCTGCAATCTAGTCGCCGGCGGAGCTCGGTGAAAACGCCGATGCAAGCAGCAGTGACCTGGGCTACGTACTCGAGTCCTGCTCGTAACAATGCGTTTGTGATAATGAAAGGGGACAAGGACAGGTCTTTGAAGTTCCCAGTGAGAGTGCGAGAATATCTATCTACACACAGAATAACACATTAAGATGCAATTGTGAAAGTGAAGTCAATATTGAGAATGGAACTCTGCATAAAGCTTGTGATTGGTGGGGTAGTGCTATGTAACGCTGTGCCTACGCTTTCAGTGCGCCCGAGCAGCCAGAAGAAGTTAGGCCGAGCTTGCCCGGCCCATACATCACGACCAGCTCTCACCAACCTAAAGAACATTCGTCGGGCGGAAAAGATGCAATGACGGAGCAGCAGCGACATCGACCGGCGCCGCAGAGCACATGGTCCCTCACGCGCGTCCCGACTCCTCTCCAGCACCTCTTCGACAGGTTTCCGCTGCTCACATACCCCCCCAATGAGCTCCCACAGCGCTCGCCGGCAGCACACAGCTTGCCGACGCTACATGTCTTCATCTCGGAGCGAGACGCTGCCACCAGCTCCCCAAGCTTCAACCCTTCCTGTTTGAAGTGGCAGGTCAGCATCAGTCCGACGCGGCATAACCAGATTTCAAGAACGGAAGCTAACATGCGGCTCTGCAGACCTTCCTGCGTATTGCAGGCGTCCGAGTCCGGATCGTCCCCTCGACGAACCATGCCTCTCCGTCCGGAGCTCTCCCCTTCCTCACGCCCGCGAGCAACTCAGGAGTACCAGGCCCTACCGACCAAGTAGCAGCCCCGCCCGTGCCCTCGAGCAAGCTCTACCAATATGCCCTCGACCACGGCACCTCGCGGCCGGGCGAGGTGCCGAGCCTGCGCCTCGAGGCATATCAGTCTCTCCTGGACCACAGGATCCGCAACGCCTGGCTCTATGCGCTCTACCTGTCGCCCCGGAACGCAGGGCTCGTCAAGCAGCTATACACGCAGCCCTCGTCGAGCTCCGGCGCCGTACAGACCGCGCTTCTGTGGCAGCTGCGCCGGGCTGCCACCGCCGAAATATTGCGTTCTGCGGGCGCCGCAGCGATCGAGCCGGAACGCCTATACAACGAGGCAAGGGGGGCGTTCGCCGCGCTGGAGACGCTCTTGGCGCAAGGCGGCGACGATGATGGCAGCAGCAGCCGATGGTTCTTTGGAAACACAGACGGGCCCACGCTGTTCGACGCCGCCGTGTTCAGCTACGCGTATTTGATCCTGCATGCGGCGTGGTCGTGGCAGGACGACACGTTGCGTGGGATCCTGGTGGAGTGCCCGAACCTGGTGGCACACACGAGGAGGATACTCGAGAGGTACTGGCAGGACCAGGAGTGGAAATGGACACGATTGTACCACAAAACCTAGAGATGTCAGGGGTGCATCTCTTTCATGACGAGGTTTACATGTATAGAGTGTAATGAGGAGTGTAAAACACAAAACCCTCGAGTAGCTTCAAGAGGCTGTCTGTAATATAATAACCTCCGCCCTGAATCTTCGTCTACGTTCTTGGGGAGAACAACCAGTGAGACTAAAGCAGTTTCTCGCATGCAAGTCAAGTCGGCAACGTTGAGGTACATGAAGGCCTCTCGATCCGAGGGCGACTTTCTATTCTGTCTGGGCTGGCTGGCTGCACTACATAAGGACTGCCCTATGTGACATAACACGCCTTTCTCTCCGCGTGTGTTCGTGTCCACATCAATGTGCTTCTTCAGCCCGGCTGATGAGTCCCGATCCAGCTCCGCAGGCCTTGTGGCATCGATCCCTCCACCCATCCTCTCCAGCCATAAGTCTAAAGTTACGGCAAATGCGGCCGCCGCTTTCTTTCACCCCCAATTCAGATATCCATATCCGACTCTGCCAGTGCCAAACTTCCGGGAATGCTGATGAGGAGGGAATAAAGAAAGATAAAGATAAATTGAGATGAGGAAAAAGCCTACCGCCCCTTATCCATCTGACGGGCTACTCTGGGTGTTTCGCGGGGTCCAAACCAACGCGTGAGTGCTGCCGTGCTGCTGGGGGTTTAAAAAACATGAACTACTGCCCCTGGCCGTCTATAAGATCCACGCCTTCGAGACCGTATATCGTGAAAGCAGAGAAAGACCAAAAGTGACCGGTCTGAAGAATCCCAGCCAAAGACGACGGATTACATGGCGCATTAGTGAAAGCAAAGCCTTGAACCAACGCCAACTGTGCCTGAAGGGGGTTGAGAGGAATATCCGTATAAGCATGGTATAAAAGTGAAAACTGTGAAAGGGGTTGCCATGACTAGCCTAGCTCATCAGACTGGTCAAGCGCCCCAGTTGGTATGTGACGTCTTCAAAGTTCTTTCACACAAGGTCGATTGTGAAGAAGCGGCAGACCGGGGTGATCTAAAAAGGCTGGTTCTTTGGGATATCATCAATGATGCTCTGGAGAGTGACAAAGGCGCCGGGGCCGCCATCTTGTCTGAGATCTTCAAGAAGAACGCTCGTTTGAGAATATAGATTCTCCAGACCTGCTCGGGACGACTTGCCAAGAGATTCTACATGCGGTCAGTATTGGCAATTCCAGAGGGTAAGTTATGGACTTACGTAGGATAGCCGAGTTCAGCTCCTCGGCGACAGTCACCCTTCCTTTCCTATCGAGAAGATGTGCAACCTCTTTCTCCTTTAGTGGATTTTGGTAGGCCATCAAGGCAAAGATTTCGTTCAGTGCCTTGCTGACTTCTCTTCGGGGGTCATCGGCAAACTCAGCACGTAGTGACTGGCCGTATGCGAGTGTTTCCAACGTTAGGTCATCGGCATTGACCTGGCCATCCCCGCTATCCTCTGTGTCCATCTGCTCCCAGGTCGCTGCCTCATCCAGCTCCATGTCCTCGGTGTGAGTGTGACCATTACTCCGCTTCTCCTCGATCAGGTTCATCTCGGCTTCACGTCGAATCATCTCAATAAACTTTCGGCAACGTAGGCGGAAATAGACTTGCTCATTGTCGATTAGCACCTGAGGATAATAGGCCTTCGTGTGCTTGAGAGCTCGGTCAATGTCCCCCTCCAGGATAGCTCGTCGAATCCCTGATGATTATTAGCACAACTGTAAGCGATGTGTGAAGTATACTGAAAATTGAGCTTACTTTGGCGATTGTTGGCATCTTCGTCATCCGTAATGTTAATGCCTTCGATCTTCTCGTTAGGATCTAGACTGAGCGCTTTCTTCTGCGCCTGGATCTCCTCGGCAAAAGCTCTTGCCGTCTCGACGTATCCGTCATGTTGCAGAAATTGCAGCACCTACACGTATTAGTGGCATAATAGAGTACATGACCCTGCCTGACTTACTAATGACTGAATGAGCTCTGTCTCGCTCAATGGTGGTGCGAGATTAGAGGTGCTACTTTTATTAGCATGAGATGAGCTTGGATCCAAGATGATGACCGACCTCGTCTCAGATATCTCCTTCTTGATGCGCTCAATCTCGGCCTTCATCATGCCGTCGATGCCATAAACGAAAGGCGTCTGGCCGAAGTTGACTCGGATGTGTTCTCCGTTCTTTTTCAGGCCGATGGATGGGTAAAGTTTGCCCTTAACATCCCGAAAAGCAACGCCTGAGTGACGAGTTTGTCAGTATGCTGTGAATGATATAGAAATCTTGCTCCATGGACATACCGAGGTTGACACCGTTCTTGGTGAAGAAAGCACTCCCAGTACGGAAGTTCACGCCACAGCCTATCACGTCGCCAGCAGAGAATGTCGGACCATAATGCTTTCCAACGTTCTGGGACGCAAAGCAGTGGCCGTCATCTCCGTGGTAACCCCAAGATTCAGGCTCCCACCCAGGCGTACGTGATAAAGCCACGCTCTTGCTAGAAAATCCTATCCCAATAGTCGTGCTGTGACTCACAGTCAGCATTTACGTACCAGCTCTTCAGATCGAAATACCTACTCATCTCGTTTCCTGGAAAGGATTGTGACTTCGTAATAATAGATACCACATTGGGGTGGCATAGCATGATCCGCACGTATCGCACATGCCTCATGATCCCGCTCGCCAGAAGTCCTGATCCCCGTATATTTCACTTCCAAGCCATCGGACAGGACATCGAGGCTTCCCCACTTATCGTCCTTGTTCCACCGCGAAGGCAACGGGCTGATCGTACTATCATCCTCGAAGGGCGGCGGTCTCTCGACAACGTCAAATGCCATCCCCCGATGTGAAGGCGGTGGGATCTTGCTGCCATGGAGGCTCAGACTACTTCCACTACTCGTGAGACCACCCGCTTGTGACTGTGTTGATTGTCCCTCCCTTTGCGCTAGTAGCTTCGCATTGTGCACCTCCTCCAACTTCTGTATGTATGTGGAGCCCCTCAAGTAAGACGGCGAGAAGAAGCCACTGTTTGTTGCGGGACCGGCAGGAAAGGTTTCCGCGGGAGACCTGCTCATGAACATCTCAAACGCTCTGGAGAACGAGGGTAGCTGGTTATTTCTCGTCGGGTACAACTGCCCCCCGGCCCCGTTCTGGTCAGCTCCATTGCGGCTACCGTCGAAGTCGTGGTTCCGAGTCGAGTAGTGGTGGTTCATATCGCTGTCTGTTGGGTTCAAGAGGTGAGAGAACGCGCCGGCGCGGAGGGTGTGCTGCGGCGGCACGAAGCCAGAGACGACTGAGGCGTATGACGACCGGCGCTGCATACCACCGGTCAGCCCCGTAGGGTCGTGTAGGAAGCCCGGCGAGCCATGTTGAAATGGGTTCGACATGGTGAGGGGTCCCGTCGTAAGGGAGAGGATCGAGGATTGTCCGTCGGTCGGTAGAGGAGGTGGGAGGAGGGGAAGTTCCGCGAGATGCTCGACCTACAAGTCCCGGGGCAACTTACGAACTGCCCGGGCGCTAGACAATCGGAGCGAAGAACACCTTGTTCGGTCGTACTCGTTCCAGGCTGCTCTTGATATAGGAGATCGCGGCCTAACGATGAAGGCGGAGAGGTCGAATCGGCGTTTACGGACTCGCCTTGAGCTCCAACGAACCTAAGAACGCCGTCGCCGATGGTGTCATAGACTCGGTTACGCTCGCCGTCCCCAACGCAGCAACAGGGAGGAATGTGCAGAGGATGAGCTGCCTGGTCAACAGTACAGGCGCCAGGTGATGCTCGTGTGCCCCAGATGACAAGATGCTGGAAGGATGTCGTCTTGGATTGCTATCAATAATCACGAGGTCGGAAGTTATCGCCCGGAGCGTTGGTTCAATGAGGTGTCACTTGGCTGTTGACGGCTCTCCACACGTCCTTTAGGGAGGAGGTCGGCGTTCCAAGGTCGATCCACAGGCGCTAGCTAGCCAGGGGGTTCCACTATTTGGCAGTGACTTCTGGGGGTAATATGCACAGGGCGCCTGAAGCGGTAGCCTGTAAGCAAGATGTTATGCGCTGTCGCGAATCCGGTGCTCTCGCTGTAAGGGAATGGAGGCTACCTACGGTAGGTACCTTACCTGAGAACTCCCTCCCAATGTCTTTTATTTCTTTAGGACACACTTGGGTTCTCCGGCCCAGTGACGGCCAGCCACGCATGAGATGAGTTATGAAAGGAGAACTGACTGGGCAGCTAAGGTAGTGTTCATAACACCGGTACTAACAATACACAGGATAACTCGGCACAATGATCTTGTCAGAACGGCTGGCTGACCCTGTCAGGGTCACTTCGTTGGAACCTTGACCGAAGCAACGCTGATGTATTTATTCTTTGTCGAGTGAGTCGATTGAGGAGTATAAATGACTGGCGACTCTTTAATAGGTAGTGTGAAGTGTTCGAGTTGGTAGAGTAATAGATCATCTTGTACTGGAAAGTTTCGCCGTTGTTATGATTACACAGGATATGGCATGCCTATTGTTTTGGGGTGTTGATGCGATGGCTGAGCAAAGGAGGTTGTGGTCATTTAAAATGAGTATATCATACTCGCCGAATTGGCCAGTCATGATGTGGCTAGATGCAAAATACTTACAGCTTGACTACCACGACCCCGAACGACCTTCGAGGGCATTTGGGTCACCGAACAAGAATACACGGCAGCAAAGATATGACTCAGGAGAGTCCTTGCATTCTTTCTTCCCGTTGAAAACGACTGAAAGCTAAACGTATTGTACATCCGAACCCTTCCCTCTGAAACGCCTACTATCCATAGCCGTAAGGCTATCAAACGGTCCGTATAACTCCTGCGAGATGCTCGCTGACCCCGTAACACAAAATGCCAATGGAGCATGCCCAACGACCAAGTCCTTTTGTATGGCGCGATGAAGAGCGCGAAACCAACCATGAAACGACATTTTGAAGACCCTAACTCCCAAGATCTGCTCGTGCATCGTGTACATGGTTTTGATGTGAGGTTACGCCAGTATAAACCAGAGGAAGTAGAAACAAACAAGGAGGTTCTCAAGCCCCGGCAGCTATAGCGAGAGGTGCTGGGGAGCTAGCATTGATACTCGGAGCACTCTGCATCTCAACGTCGCCACCGCTATTACTGTTCTCACTCTTGGGTTGATCAATCTCTTTGTTCTCCTTAGTGCTTCCTTCGGCGGAGGCTGCTGAGCCTTCCTCAGTGGTAGACTCTGGCTGAGACTTGGTCGGTGCTGTCCATCGAGGAATCTCCCAGACCACGCCGGTGAAGCTCTTCAAGGTGAACCCACCCTTCGCCCATTTGCGGCATGGTTTGCCAGATCGGTCGAGGGCGCGAAGATTGGCGTTGATCGCTCCTTGGTTCGCCTTGGGATTGAGCTTGTGTCCCAGTCCAGCACCGCGAGCAGGCTCTATGGTACCATCATCCCTGATAGTTCGTTAATTACTTTATATCAGAGCCAAGTTGCTACCATAACACAGGTTTGGTATTAAATATAGTAGGACGGAACAGCTTACATTCTCTGTCTCTTCTTCGGGCCAGGCTTGCCTCTGATCTTGATCTGAGGCTCCGAGAGGTTTGCACCGTTCGCGGCCCCAGCAGATCGCTTAACACCCTTCTTCTTGGGGCCTTGTCCCTCAGGAGGAGGTCCCATATCTGACGCAGGTGCAGGCGTGCCACTGCCAGCAGGGGTCGCGGGATTTGAGTCAGAGACATTCTCAGCAATCGATGCTGGCGCGGCGGGCAAGGTAGTTGAGGTACCAGGAGACTCGTCAATCTCTTTGGGCGGCGTGTCCTCCTTGACGGACGGCGGTGATGGGTCGAGGATGGCTCGCAGCCTCTCGGGCGAGACGGTCAGCGTCACGAGGCCTGGCGACGACTTGGCACCAGACTTTCGTCGGTCCTTGGAGGCGCCTGCAGTGGTCTTGCCCGACGGTGCCATTGCGATGGTTGATGGGTGCAGGTATGTGAGGGTCGAGAAGCGGCAAGCGCCTAAGAGGTTGAGGAGAGAAGGACGACGACGGTCAAAGGAAACTGAAATGTGCTTTGTCACCGGGGCGTTGATGGATTTGGTGATGATGTGGAAGGTGGCTAGACAATTCCCTCTGAGAAGGGTGATCCACTTGCCCAGAAAGTCACGTAAGGGGTGCGATGTGGCAGGGCACGGTCAGCTGTGGTGAGCCGAAGAGCCAACGGCGCCGGCGGTAGGGTGGTGGTGGTGGTGATAGCAGGACGGGTTTTTACGTCGCGGCTTCGCAGGCGATGGTGACGATGATTGCAAATGTTTAGATGATGATGAAGGAAGGATGGTGGTGATGGGCTGGGAGGAACAACGGGGAGAGATCTTTTTTATTAGGTGGAAACTTTGGTGCCGCCCTTGGGGCAGCGCCATTGTGACAAGACGCTCTCATGCTTGCTGTGTGCTGAGCGGGCGAAATAGACTGCGAGAGAGGCACTTCGCCCGTACTCCAACAAAATCTGAGCTGTGTCCTGGGGTTGCGCGCGCCGGGACAAGGCTTACGTTAGTCAGTTTCGGTACGTACCTTCCCTCCGTCCTTCCACATTCACGGCCAATGCATCTTGGCCCCGTAGCTTGATCTGTTACCGCATTATCTCATGCAACGCTATATAATCAGTGAATGTGTTAGATGCCGAACTGGAATTCCAGCCCTGCCTCCTCATCCCCTTTGTCCCCAAAACGGTAAAGTCGAATCTTGTGATTTTGATTTTGCCTGGACGCTGTCGCCTTCCTTGCTTTTTGATTACTCGCCCACCGCCAATCTCCAATAACGAGCGCACTGGGCGTATTCACCTACTATAGTTTTGCTGGCGTGAGTGCTGTTGATGACAATCTCGATCCGCCCTCCGAAGATCTAGAAGCTTTGAAGCACCATCATGATGAATTTGTTCTGCTACGTCTTGAAAGCCCCATACATAGGCATTGTGACGCTGCCAGAAGGAGTAAATACAATCACGAACTGGGAACTTTTCAATTCATACGGAGCAACTTGCTCTCCAGAGGTGTAGACTATGAGACGTTTCGAGTACCCAGGATCTAGATACCTAAGATAGTGCGGTATTCAGCAACAAGTCTGTTGTGTTGCAAATGGGATATTCTTGAGTGCAAATGTTCAAGCATCTCATGTCGATGCGTCTTGGTTGAAGGCTCGCCCTTTTATTGTGGCCTGCTTTCTTCCGTGCTATCTAGATTGAGATCTCAGCACACATAGCCCTTCCTTCTGGCAATGCTATCGCCATCTTCACACATGATCTCAAGTGAAGGAAGAATCACGATTGAAATACGTCCTACAGCATTTGCGATGCCCCCGAAAATGGGCGGGGTTTCCATTGATCAATGTTGGTTTTCTGAGAGCTGCCCAGACCGCACACTATCAGCGGCTCACCACGACCGGCCAACTATAGTGCATGCTATTCAATAATCGTGAGCAACCAGATTCCCGACGCACTCCCCTTCAGACAGGCCTGGGATATAATGAGTCTAGGTATTATCCAGTCGCCGATGGCGCCTACTTGATTTTCTCGCTTGAATATATCTTATCACGAGAGTGGTAGGATATTGCTTCCAATAGTACTTCAGGAAAGGTTTTAAATCTGAACATGATAACTGGTGAAATATCCTCCTGCTACAAGCTTGCAGCGTGTTTGTCATCATTGTTGACATTATGTCGGAACATCTGGGTCGTCATCCGTCAATTTCCTTGCTTATCCACTCGATTGCATCCGAGTGATGATGCACCCGTAGACCCAAAGCATGGCATTCTTCGCTTCCTTCGCGTTCCCCACCCCATTCTAAGAAAATTACAAAACCTCGCGATTAGACTAGTCATCACCTATGATGCTCTCCATCCAGATTGCCATGCAGACAGTGGCATACTTGTCGGTGAGGGCCAAAGGTAAATCAATTGCCAGTGTGAGAAGCCTCTATTACTCGACTGCCCCACACATAGACGCCCAAAAGGCAAACAAAGTGAGACACGACAACAATTCCATAGCATCTTACCTATAACACAATTTACACAACCGTCTAATGGTGTCATCGTAACAGTATTTGCCAAAGGTGATCATGATTGTGAGTCAGTGGGTGCCGAACCCGTTACTTCTAATGGCTGAAAATAACATCGACATCTAGGAGGATGTTTACAGAGAAAAACAAGGGGAAGATTCCGAGGTGACTCTTATCCCTTGTATCCTGCAAGAGGACCTTCCACTTCTAATAGAGGAAGAGGAAGAGGAAGTTGTCAGTCGTCTGCTCCGCCCAGGGTGATAAACGTGAGTTCGGTAGTATTATCATCCTTAGCAAATGAGTACTACCTTACAGAAGTTGTTGAAGCTATAGTAATAAACAGAACCTTCGAGCTCTCAAAAAAGCACCCTGGCCCTCGTCTTTAGCATCCTTTCCTTCATAAATTAAGGTTTGTTACCCTGGTATGTAGAGGGGGGAAACCACACCAGCGATCAATCACTTACCCCTTATGTAACCGCTCATAGACTTCTTCACTCCGTATTTTCACCAGGGACAACCCCGAAATCAACCAAAATCCGGTCTTTAAACCAGGCCGGGGATCTTCCGGCCTAGTGTCATTACCGGATGCCGAAGACCGGGCTGAAAGTGGAGATGGGTTTTCATTACGACACCAAAACTCATCCCTTTCCCGTCACGACTCCCGGGACTGCTCGGAGCTTTCACGACGAGAGACGGTAGAATTCCCACAAAATCTGGAGTCTTTCGTTCTAGAATGATCTGGTTGTTGTGATTAGGTTGCTTAAGGATGTGTGCATGTTAGGGAAAAGGAGCAAGTAGCCCTTATTCGCGCCTGAGACCGCGTACACATACAACCAAATGAGATGAAGACATCGTAGGCTTGTCTTAAGCTTGTAGAGACCATAATGTCCTTTGAAAGCCCTTATCTCTGAGTGGATAATTTCTCCCCTCCTTGAAGATGAAAAGGTGCCATCTGCAGCCGGGTTCGGCCTGGAATCGCGGGAAGAATTCCGGCCTTTGACTATATACGCCGGCCCCATCTACCGAAGTTCAGAAGAGTTTTGGTCTCTCCAAACCATCAAGGCTCGAAGAATTGTCACGTGTTCTATCACTTAACTCTTAGATTCTCAAACACTTTTCAATTTTGACTATCTGTGTTAAGATGGGTTCTCTAGACGGTATGGACACCGCCATTCAGGTGCTCGATGATTGTCGGCCGGACGACATGTCCATGCCCGCCTTTATGGTCTCCAAACCCAGGGGCTTTCTGCCTCGCATGGACCCAATCGTTTCTTTGCCATCTGAGTTCGATGCCCTGGAGTCGATCCTCCAACGGATGCCTGTCAAGACCTTGTCGGGGGAGCCTGGCCTCCTTGCTCATAGCAAGCTAGGCCCTACTGTCCACGAAGAACTACCTGACCTCACTCCCTTCGTCGACGAATACAAAGATAACCTTCCTCTCATGAATGCACTCTATCGAGACTACTCCTTCCTGGCCTCGGCATATCTTCTTGAGCCATGCCATGAGAGGTTCATGCGTGGCGAGTCGTACGGCCTCGGCCGAGATGTCTTGCCGGCCAACATCTCACGGCCCATCGCTCGATGCGCCGAACTGTATGAAGACACTTTTGTTCAATGATGACGACGTCTTGACTAACATGTTGATAGGACTGGCTTCAAGCCTTTCATGGAGTATGCCGGCTCATATGCCCTCTTCAACTATCGCTTGGAGGATCCAGCGAAAGGTCTCGACTATTCGAACCTGCGTCTCATCCGTGCCTTCGAGCATGGCCTCGACCCCTCGTCGTCAGAGGCCGGTTTCGTTCTAGTCCATGTCGACATGGTAAAGAACTCTGGTCCACTTGTTGCTGGCGCCATGGCAGCCCTTGATGCCTGTTCGAAACCGACTCTAAGCATCCATGAGCGAGAGTCACTTAACTCTGGCCTTCGCGACATCCTCACTGCTCTTGAGACAATCAACGCCACCATGGAGACCATGTGGATGAAGTCCAAGCCGATGTCTTACACCAGCTTCCGTACTTTCATCTTCGGTATCACCTCGCAGTCAATGTTTCCCAACGGTGTTGTCTACGAGGGCATTAATGATGGAGAGCCGATGAGCTTCCGTGGAGAGTCAGGGGCGAATGATTCAATGATCCCACTCATGGATAACTTCCTTCAAATACCCATGCCTGAGACGCCATTGACAGAGATCCTGAAGGACTTCCGACAGTATCGCCCAAGCAACCATCGTCAATTCTTAATGTTTGTCCGAGACAAGAGCCTTCAGGTTGGTTTAAAGGACGCTGCCCTCAGCCTTAGCGTCAAGGTGGCAGACGGTCAAGAAAAAGAACTGCTGCAGGAGTCTCGCCAACTGTGGCTTAAGATCCTCAATCAGGTTCGAGACTTCAGATGGAGGCACTGGTGTTTTGGCAAGGAGTATATTCTTAAGAGGACTAGCCACCCTACCGCTACCGGCGGCAGTCCTATTGTCACTTGGCTCCCGAATCAGCTGCAGGCTGTGCTGTCGGAGATGATCTCCCTTTATGAGAACATCACTGGGGGCGAACAAGACAAGCTTGGCGATCAGTGCGAGACTATCATGGACCTTGCTTATCGACAGAAGGAGACTTTGAAGAAGGAGGTTGAGAAGTATTGCGAAGAGCGTGGCGTTAGTCAGAACTAGGGCGGTTGGAGCTCCGCTTGAGAACACTAAACTCGACTTAATTGACTTCATATCATCAACATCGATAAAGCTGCTCCTACCTTTGTAGATTCGTAGGTGAAATCAGAGGTACTCGACTCTCGCTGAGATCAACAGAACCACGGCGCTAAGGCTGTAGTACTCGCCTGAAAATGCAACCCGATTTTCGCGGGATGGTGCCCTCCTTCGACAATCCCACCTATCGTGATCCGCACGACACCTATTGCCCATGGGTTTGCTCAGCTGCCCCAAGCTGTGCTGGACACACGCCCACTTACATGCACCCTGTTGCAATTTGCGGCTTATGCACGGGTGATATGTAATACTCACAGCCAACTTACGGACCTTCCGTGGCGGGACTCGCCTCTGTCAGCTGACGGAAGCTAGGTAAGTCGGCGGACGAACCCTTGCCGCCCAAATTGGCGGACTTGTAGGAGCTGTGATCACCATCCAGCAGAACTTCTGCCTTTTCGTATTTCTTTGCATTTGAATTGACCACGCAGCTGCTCTGACATTTTATGCTCGTGATCGTCTGTCAATGACATTTGGATCCGTTCATAGATAGTTTCTTCAGAGTTTATGACGTCTTATAGAGGTGTAATGCGACTGCTCGCTCACTTGCCGTTGCGAGCATTCTTATCAGATGTCGGCGCCTTCTCCTCACTAGTGTAACTCGGTGTTGAGATCGAGAATTGTGTGTTGACTCACATAATGCTGCTCTTCCGTGCCGTTCTGGCCTTCGGGCTTTTCTATCGGCATGCACAGGCTCAAGATCGGCTTGGAGTCATGGACTACTCCATGAATGCCCTCTCTCCTCGTTATTACCTGGCCGCCTCTCCCCTGCAGAAGCGGGAGACAGGTTGCAATGCGGGCTTTCATCCTTGTAGGCGATCACTTATACGCACCACGCTCATGATCCGAGCCTCGTCCCTAGCTGACATTCTGCCTGCGTTATATAGGCAACGACATCAATGCCACGGCATGTTGCTCTGACGACACTTATTGTATCGTAGATCCTAAAAGTTGGCAGCCTCGATGTTGCGCTATCGGATCACAGTGCGATTCGCCTTGTGGAACCGATCAGTATCAATGTAACGCAACCACGACCATCACCACACTGTCTGCAGCGACTACCTCTGTCTATGCGGCATGCTGTCCTCGCCCGTGCGTATCGACCAGCCAATACCTGTGCCCATCCTCTCTCGGAGGCGGCTGCTGCCCGTATGGTGCTCAATGCGCCTCAGGGCGGAGGTGTCTGTCGACTAGCAAGGCAACCAGCAGTACTGCCAGCGCCGTAGTGACTGAAATCCCAAGCGGCTGCACGACTAGTCAAATCGCATGTCCAACAGAAGAAGGCGGAGGATGCTGCGCCATAGGGAAGAGCTGCACACAGGTCAGCGGCTCCAACTTCTGCGTCCAGGCGACCGTTATTCCCACTGCCTCCGGCGTTGTCGCCGTCGAGCAAGGCGGCGGACTCTCGGCGGCCACAAAAGGGGGCATCGGGGCGGGCGTGGCCGTCGGCGCAAGCCTGTTGATTGGTGGCCTGGCCTGGTTCTGTCTACGGAGGCGCCGTTCTCGCAGCCAGACTGCGTCCTCCCGCCGGCGTAGCGGTGGTGGCCGATATGTCGAAGGCGGCGAGGCCGGGCGCCCAATGACGGAGGCTACCTCGGATGTCACGCCGTCGCGGCCGGAGCGTCTCCCCGGGCTGGCAGCTGACTACTTTGGGCCTGCCGCCGTGCCGGGCCCGTTCACTGTGGCATCGAACCCGGCGTCCTCACCGGGCCACTTGTCTCAGGACCGGGCGGTGCCCACCGACCCGCACGTTCCGGATGATATTGCTGTGCCGGTGGAGATCGACTCGAATGAGAGGATGGTGCGTGACGGCGGCACGCTGGACAGTAATCTGCACACGCCGTCTGTCGTGCACCAGGTGCCCACTCCGGAAACAGTTGACGGGCGATTTGAGCTGTACGGCTCAGCCATACCATCACCGTCCCCTCCTGTTGGAGATGCCAGCAGCGCGCAGTCGCCGCTGGATTCGCCTACCATGGGTCACAGCACCCTGAGCACGGTCACAAACGCGGAGGATCGAACGAGGGAAGGATGAGTTTCTCACGAGAGATGTCGTCTATTAATCTTGTTATGTACCGAATGATGCAGCGGGGGCCAACGCCTATCCATCTATACAACTCGCCCCTGCCACTGTTCCTGACATAGAAGAAAACCAAGCAAAGATATGCAATCGGCAGCGCAAAACTTTTTTGCCAACGACTTAAACAGCCACCCCGATGAACGCCGGACATAACAAGGAAATGTAGAGCACAGTAGTGTACACGGGACAGTTTGTTAGGCCTGGTCTAGGCGACGACGCCGCCGAACGGCGTGCATGTTCGTAAATCCTTGACCAGCTCCTCAACGCTATTCAAGTGGCGGCCCAGCAGCGCCTGCTTCTCCTCCGTCGTGCGTGTCTCCTCGCTGTCGCTGTTGGCCCGCCGGCGGCCGTTGCCGTTATTGAATGCCTTGGCGAGCTTACTAGGACTGCGCTGCAACATTGCGGGAACGGAATCGCGGGCATCGGCTCTCGGGATGGAGGGCGTCTCGGGCATGAGATAGAAGTAGAGGAACTCAACAAGTTTGAGCTTCACGTCGCGTGAGGTGGAGCGTGACTTGAAGAGCGAGGTCACTGTGAGCAGGCCGTCGAGGTTCTCAAAGGTGCGTGTGTTCTGGGGCGTCTCGACGAGAGCGACGACGAGGGTGAGGAGAGTCGCAGACTGGATAGCAGGGCAGTTGACTGGCTCGAGGAGATCGAGGAGAAGCTATGAAAAGCGACACCACCATTAGCACAATGGGGGCGCGACGCTGGTGGAAAGATTAGAGGTTCGCTTACATTCATGTTCTGTTCTCGTGCGAATAGCGTCTTGCTTGGAGGGTGCAGGACGAGCAGCCCCTGTAACAGATCCAGCGCATTCATGATCAACAAGTCGTTCTGTCCGTCGCTCCCTTTCGCCATCAGACGGTCTAACGTATTGACCAGGCGCATCGTAACATTCCACTCGAAGCCCTCCTGCAGCTTGAAGAACTCGTGGAAGGCGGGATCGTTGTTCAAGTCGGAGAGCCGACGCCGTGGAGGATTTGGCGGGCCATCCTTACCCGGATCATTCAGTTGGTCTTTCTTCTGACTATTTTTCTGCTGAGAGAGGCAGATCTGGGCAAGCAGGCTGTCGACCTGCTTGATGCCCTTCTTGATCTTGGGCCCATCGTAAGAAGAAAGATTGTCAAATGCTAGTGATAGAAGAGCCTCCATTGTGGTGGTTTGTGTGGGATTTTTGATTGAAAGTAAAGACAAGATGTTGCTGGGTATCAAATGTTCTTCCTGCTGCTGAACCAAGAACACCTGATCGAAGATGCGATGCGAATGCAGACAAAGATATGGAAAGACTGAAAGGACTGTTGACGACAATTGTCGAATAGAATGACGCCGTTTGAGATGGATGTAGAGTGTTAATACAAGGCTGATGAAGGCAAAAAGGCTGATCGGGTATCAATGGGGAGAAAGGGGGAGGAAGATCCTGTTTCACAGAGGAGAGCAGGCCATGGGAGATAAGTCGTGTGTCGCAACCAGATAGGAGATACTGGGCATAAATTCCAAAGTTGACGATGTTGTCTTAGCAATGTTGTCTGAGCAACCGGACACTAGACTTGCAGCCTGTGGATAAGGTAAGTGGGACCGCCGGGAGCTTCCCCAGATCGGTGGTGGGGCTTTATCACCAGCAGGAGCACGTATTAGAGTACAAACCAGTCTAGAACATATGTAGGGTAGATGAGTTATGTGATGACTGCAACGTCTCTAATAATATTGGAATGAACCTCATATATAGAGTCTGAAGGCATTTTGAGTTGTCTTGAATCAATGCACGGTTAAGGCCATGGAGAGCTAGCTCTGTTCAGAGGTTGTAGGAGGTCGTCAGAATCCTTGACTGAGTTGCTTGCTCATTTCATTCCTGGCTGACTGACTGAGTAGACTAACTTGGCGAATGATTTGTATGAAATGCAAGGTCAGGTGGTCGTGAGGCCTCGAAAGCAACTAGTATATCTGATCTGGTATATGAGTCTCAAAGAATGTCGAGTCATGGTGACCGTCATGTGAGCCGACATTCTCTCGATAGCAGTCAACTGCCGACCTCGTGAGCTCCGACACTTCCGACTGCTGGGGGGAAAAGTTGGGACACTCCCAGTAAGATGCTTGAGCAAGCTTTTCCAACTACCGACATTGACAGGTCTTGCTGTGGTATACTCCATTTTATAGAGCCATGAGCAGCGTGGCGGTCACACCCTGCCAGAGGATGCACCTGTGTGGATGCATGGCGCAGGGGAAGAGAAGTGTGAAACCGGGTATGCAGCAATAGCCTCACAGCGCCTTTGAAACTGCATAAGGGAAGCGGCGGGAACCCCTTCTAGAAGATCATGCACTGTCCTCTTTTCGGCTGCTTGTCCGTTGTCGACAGCGTGCTTATCCCAGTGAATGGAGGCTGCCCAGTCCATATCAGGGTTTACGGTCGTAGGGATACCACCGGTTCGCAGCAGGCTTACCTTCACCGCATCCCTTTATCGTCGCCAGGCGGATCACCTATAGGCCCGACGCTGGAAGACATTGGATGGATGGAGATGCTACGATGCCCAGATGTGGGCATGACGGGACCTGCATCTTTGGGCCTGAGTCAAAGCACCTGCACTCGTGCCTCCTGCTGCACCTCCATCGCCATGTTCCCCCGGCCGGTGGGATATGGCTTGGATAGTTGATGAATGTGGTTTAGTTGAGCCAGAGTTTCGACGTATGTAATGGGCACACCTCCCAGTGAATGCGAACTTGCAACTTTCACTCCCTCCTACACATTTAAATGCCCAGCACACATCGTGTAGCCCAACAACCTTGCACTTTTACAGACCTCATCGATATAAACTTGCATCTTCTGTAAGCGCACCTCAGTCGCATCGAAAAATCACCCAGTGATAAGTCTCCCAAAGCGCAGGTAAGCAGGAAAGAGGTATGCGCCCTCCCGGTCCCCCGCTTGTGTCCCAGCTCCCCCACCCCGCTACCCGACCCCTCCTCGTTGGCCTGAAGCTTGCCACTTTGGAGAGGCACAGCTCTGGTCACATCCTGTCTTGTCCTGCCCTACAATGAGGCTGCGCAAGACTTACAGGACTCTTGTCTCAACACGCAGAGTGCAGATCATGCCATGCTGACCAGATGCGTAGGTGAAGTCGAGACGCAAGGTATAACCAACGGCGCATTTGCCCGCCGACTCTTGCAGCTCCGTTTGCAGCCTTTTGACGCTGCCTAGCTCCAGGTCACCTCAGGTGCTGCAGCTAGACTACCGCGGGATCGAGTCAACACCAATACGAGCGGCCGGATCTCTGGTCTCCACCAGGCGGCAACGTTTTCACAAGCCAAACCTCGTCGACACTCCACCTCCACAGCATCCAAGCAAGCTAGGTCAGGCAATATACACGTATACCAATCGGTACGCGTGTATAAGCCCCCAACGGACCCGAGCAGCCCTACCCCAACGTATACCTAGAAAACGGGCCCCTTACCTCACAGTCGCCCGCATGTTCCTATCCAAACGTTCGCAGAAGGAGCCTGCGACCTCGACTGCAACTGCGACTATGCCCTCTACCTCTGTCGCCGGTGCTTCCTTTCTCCAGTCTCCCAACGCTATCCCCCCGCGCTCCTCGAGCACCGGATATAACGTGCCTCATCCTCCTTCCAAGAGTGTTCTGCGGCCAGTCGCCGAGGGTGACTGGATTGGCCATCATCGTACGACCCGAAGTCGCAAGGCTTCCGTCACATCCACATCTTTCCTCGTGAACATGGGAACTCAACCCCCGACCCCTCCCGATCCATCGCGGTACGCTCACGAGGACTTCAACTTCGCAGCGAAGAAGACTTTCTCTGAGGAGAAGGAGAAAGTCGTCCTCGGCCCCTTCGACTACCTCTACAACCACCCCGGCAAGGATTTCCGTGCTCAGCTCATCAAGGCCTTTGATGCCTGGTTGGAGGTGCCTCCCGAGAGCCTCGAGGTCATCACAAAGGTGGTGGGCATGTTACACACGGCCTCGTTGCTGGTAGACGATGTGGAGGACAACAGCCTGTTGCGCCGGGGCATGCCGGTCGCGCACAGCATCTTTGGTGTGCCACAGACGATCAACAGCGCCAACTACATCTACTTCTGTGCGTTACAGGAGCTCGGGAAGCTGCGGAACAGCAAGGTCATCAACATCTTCACGGAAGAGCTGCTGAACTTACACCGCGGGCAGGGCATGGACTTATTCTGGCGCGACACTCTGACCTGCCCGACCGAGGACGACTACTTGGAGATGGTCGGCAACAAGACGGGCGGTTTGTTCCGCTTGGGTATCAAGCTGATGCAGGCCGAGTCACGGTCTCTCATTGACTGTGTGCCCCTTGTCAACCTCATCGGGCTAATTTTCCAGATCCAAGACGACTATCGTAACCTTTTCTCCCGGGTGTACAGCGAGAACAAGGGCATGTGTGAGGACCTGACCGAGGGCAAATTTAGCTTCCCGGTCATTCATAGCGTGCGTTCGGACCCGACGAATTTCCAGTTACTGAACATATTGAAGCAGAAGACCACAGATGAGGAGGTCAAGCGTTATGCCGTTAAATACATGGAAGGCACCGGCAGCTTCGAATACACCAAGAAAGTGCTTGACGTCCTCATTGACCGCGCGAGGCGCCTGACGGATGAGATTGACGAAGGGAAAGGTCGAAACAGGGGAATTCACAAGATCATCGACAAGATGGCCATTACAGAGTGACGTGACGTGGAGACGAGGGCGGCCGCCGACTCTCCGCTTGCAGCATTGGATGGATCAGGGAAGGGAGTTTTGGTCATTCGCTACAGCATTTGGGATTGCAATTCTCTGCAGGGTACGACGGATTTAGATGGACATGTGGCGTCGGGGGCATTCATTCACATTTTTGATATCCATGGGCGTTGAGTCGTTTTGACATCCCAGGTCCTTAAGTACTTCAATCTACGTCGACAGGCTGGTGTATTGGACACACTGTGCCTCGTATTCATGTGAGAGGTCGTTGCCAAGTCTTGTATCAATGACAGCTTCATATTTTGTCTGTGTCTGACAATGTGATAATACTTCAACAGATGTGGTGGACGGGTATAGTTACCTCTCTCATTGGTGCCCGACATCAGTTTATCATGTTAGGCAAGTTGTACAAAGGATCACGCCTTGACTGGAAATATCAGCTCCTCTTGAGGTAATTAATACGTCTTGCATGTTATTGTTCATAAGTCGTGAAATCTGAAGAGTCTCCTATTCTAAGCAGTTGGAGCTCTCTCCTTCCTCTTCACCAGCCTTACCCACCGCCTGCGCCTCCACTCACCTCTTCTTCCCTCCCCTTCCTCGCCCTCTTCCCAGCTCACATTCGGTGGCCGCTGTGGAAGGTTCCCGCGCGCCCTTGGCGGCGACTCTGCTAGGCCCACGGCGGCCTCCTGCTCGTTATAGATATCATACACCCAGCGCTCGCCCTCGGTCTCGACCTCGACGCCCGTGATGATGCGCTCCTCCACCCACTCGCGGCTCCACAGGTCGAGCGCCCACTTCTTCTCGCTCCACTCCCACCCCGGCGGCGCCAGCACGTCCTCGAAGAAGCGCGTGCCCGAGGGCCGCTCGCCGGCGATGCGCGGCTGCGACAGCGGGTCGAAGGGCGAGGGGCTGAACAGCCAGGGCTCCCACTCGCCGGCGGCCGACAGGCGCTGCAGCTCGAAGATCTCGACCTCGCGCGTCTCGGGCGCGCTGTCCAGGATGATGTCGGCGGCGATCCAGCGGTCGACGAGCGAGCGGGCGCGCGCCTCGGCGTCGGACCCGGGCCCGGCGTAGGCGCCGCGGGTGCGCTGGAGCATGCGCGCCATGGCCGGGTGGCCGGTGATGATGGCGGCCCAGCCGGCGCAGAGGAAGATGAGGCGCCAGGGCAGCAGGTGCGAGGCGATGGACATGAGGGCGGCGGCGGCGGCGAGGGCGACGAACAGCGCCGACGACTCCGCCTCGTCGGAGAAGTTGGCGCGCGGCACGAAGCGCGTGGTCACGGCGTCGTGGGCCACGCTGAAGTCCTCCATGCTGTTCTGCAGGTCGCGCATGTTGCGGAAGAAGTCGCGGCTGAGCTCCTTGACCGGCTTGACAGTGCGCGCCGGCGCAATGGGCGGCCCGCGCGGAGAGTAGTTGAGCTCGGAAGCCTCCGAGGGATGACGGGACATGAAGGCCGGGATGAGCACCCCGAATATGAGGATGGCCAGGGGCAGGATGGGGAGGAGGTAGGGATCCAGGCAGACGAGCGTGTACACTGCGAGGAAGGACAGTGTGTGGCTGGTGCGCCGCCAGGAGAGCAGCCGGACCACGCGGGCCTGAAACTTGAACATGACTCCGATGCGTGCGTTGAAGCGCCGGAAGTTGTTCGACATAGTGGTGATGTTGAACCCCGGCCGTTGTGAGTATGCCGGCATGCTATCATCCGGAATATCTGTATCTTGTACTTGGCCATCATCTGGAGGGATGACTTGTTGTAGGAGCCTAGGGAGAGCATTAGCAAAACGTCACAACTCCTGCAGATGAACCAAAGGAGATATGTTCATGTGCAAGCACGGTTGATATACGTATTTGTCTAATTCTGTACCAACATACTTCTCTAGGAGTTTGTCCTGCACGTTGGCCCTTTCTCGCAAGGCAGCCAACCCTTTCCATCTTCGAGGACTGGGCTGCTCACCGGCAGCCGCAGCGGCAGCCTGAGCGACAGGTTCGGGCCTTGCATCTTCACGGTCATCCTGATCCGGAAGGGTGTCCCGGTCGACAGTGTTGAGGACATCTACTGTGAAGTCATCCATTTTGGCTGGGATATCGATCGTGGTATCCTAAAGTAGTTCGGCTCTCCACGGATGGGACCGCCTGGAATTCGAGGACCCTTTCAGAGGCCCATACCTTCAATAGTAGATCTCAAAGAACTAGAGCTCTCTAAAACGTATCAGCTTGAGTCTAGTTCTCCCTTTCCGTTTGTTCCTTGCTGGTGTCTTAAGAGTTTCGCGCCCTCGTGAGGAATGTTGAAGGTCCAAAGTCTGAGGCGTGGCATAAGTCACATGCAAAAGCCGGCAATGAGGTCAGCGTCGCGGCTGGTCAGCAGCCCTCCACTGGCCGGGCGCTCCACACCCGCGGGGCAAGACTTGGAGGCACCAACTCCATTACGGGTGTACCCAAGTACCTACACTAGATAGGTAGGTAAGGTACCGGTAGGTAATAAACGCCACTTGAGCCTTGTAAAATAGGTATTACCAGAGTTCACAGTGTGCTACTGGGCTATGACTGGCTTGTTTGCGCTGATACGGATCAGACTACCGTAAGCTGCGTTGCCTTGTCAAACCTATACTGCGTAAAGTTTAGATTTGTAGGCTTGTAAGTGTACGGTCCTTCTTCTCATAGTACTGGCAGCGTAAGCCTCGGTTTCTCGAGAAAAGTGATGCTCAGAGCATCACCAGGATATAAGAATGGCACGTCCTGATCTGTAGCCAGCCTTAGGCTCTTTCGTATATGTCATGTTCGGAGCCCAACAGATACTCTGCGATCACAAAGGACATGTTTCACATTGGGACTATATGCCCTGACCTTTTTGTAGAAAGCAGTTGATGAACTTCGAAGGTATCCGTGGACCTGTAATTCCGGGTCGAATATCGGTAAGATATTAACCTACCTAGTCCAACCACGTCTTAGCCAGAGGCTGACAGCTGGAAGTGGCTTCTACTAAGATAATAAGCCCCTTTCCTCACTAGTTGTAATTTCTCCTTTTCTCAGCTGGCTAATTACGCCCTGATTTATCATGACTTGTTTCGCCGTGTTTGTTTCATGTCCTGCAACGGTCAAGTCGTACATATGAACAGCAGTACATACTGTGCAGTAAATTTCAATCGACATTTGCATGCAGCGACAGGTACGGAAATTTAGCTGGGGCAGCAGCCGAAAGGAGATCGCGCTGCAGTGATCTCCCTTTTCCTGCAGGCGTGGAATTGGCCAATTTTGGGCTTGTTGGGGACTGGCTCGACTGGCTCTCCCACTCTCCCAGACTCGATGTGGAATGGAGGGGTTGAAAACACGAAGAGAGATCGCTAGTAGAGGCCAAGCTGTGTGGCGTGGCGGCGGCTGCAGAAGCAGACACGAAATTGGACAAGCTCAGACACGGTAAGGGAATACCAGAGGATCCAGATCCGGAGTGCAGGTACATGTACAGTCGCGGTTTGGTCGATCCAATGTCAGTCAGGCAGTCAGGCAGTCAATATGCGGCAAACCATGGGCCGAAGCCGACGATCCAACCCGTCCCCTCGCATGAATCAACACGCCAGGGTTGTGGTTTTGAATAGGTGAAGCTGGTGGAATCAAGCATCGTTGCCCCGGAGGCGATGTCGAAGCGCAATAGCAAAGGTCTTATGGAAATAAACAGTCGATGGAGGTCGTGAATGGTCGTGTCTTGCAGGGGTTCGTGATGAGATGAGGGGACCCGTCCGTCCGTCCCAGGCGTCCCTTTTCAAGCGAAACGGCGCTCCGCGTCTTTGACGTGCAGCGTGCCTTCGAGGCGAGGCGAGGCGAGGCGTGTCTCCCACGAGTCCCCTCTGCCCTGCCCACAGCCCATGCTTCTCCCTACGCAGTAGATCGTTCACTCTTGTCTCTCTGCTGCTGCGCTTGGATACTTCGTCGTCTCAAGATATTAATGTTAGCTGAGAGAACGGCCAGTCTCGACTAACCTTCTAACAAGCATTCTGTCATCAACCTGACAGAATGAAGGGGTACCTACTAGGTAGGTATTGATGGATGGACGGGAGAAGAGTGGGACCCACCTAGCATCATCAACAGCACTACCCGCAGGCTAACGTTAGGGAGGAGCAATGTCAACTTGGCCACGCTGTTAGCCCCTGACAATCGATACCCTGAGCCAAGCACTGCTCCTTTCCTTGCTGCAGAAAAAAGTAAGATAAAAAAAAAATTAAGGAAATAATCACTAAAAAGGGGCTTCCCGAAGCTTCACCAGACACGGATGGATCCGCTCTCTAGCTACCTACCTTACTGCATAGTAAGTCTATGGCCATACATAGTGCACAGCGGACAACGAGCAGACTTGTTCTGCATGTCGCCCCCAATAAGTGCTTGAGGCTCATGGAGTTATTCGACTGACATGATGAGGACTGTCAGTACATCCACTCACGACTGTATTAGGGAGGGAGATCACTGGTTGCCCTGTGCAATACCCAAGTAGGGGCATCGGGCATCTTATTATGCAGGTGAATCAATCAATCCGGTGTGGGTCTCAAGTCGCGTATTACTGGCCCCTTCGCGACCCTGTGAGCCTGTGAGCCTGTAGCTAGTGGTAGGTGGCCGCCCGTGCCAGTGCCTTGTGCCTGGAGCTTGGGAAGACCTGCAGTGCCAGAGTGCCTGCTGGCCCCCCGTCCCACTCCCACTCCCAGTCCCAGCGTGCCAGGCGGCCAACACCTGCCATTCGCAGTCCTCCCAGCCCACCTGGGCAGTCCAGCCCCGGCCCAGCATTGACGGGACTTGACTGGCCTGCCTCGAACGAACATTAACGTTAGTGGAGCTTCCTTCGACTCGGGCCAAAAACATCGACGATTTTGGCGTGCAGCACACCAGTGCCGTAGGTAGCAGTAGCAACACCTCCTTCTCCCGCCTGCATTTCCACCCACATACCTACCGACCGACCTTACATACCGCATCCTGCACACCGCAATCAACCCTCTTCGCCGCCGCCGCCGAGAGGTGTCTTGCTCGAGATCCGATCCCCATGAGTGTCATCCCGACACCGTCGTCAGCCTGATACCTGCAGAGCGGAATGAGGTAGTTCTTTGGATGTTCCTCAGATCCTTGATTGGACTGAGTCCGCTTGCGACCGGGGACATTTCTACGAGGCATCCCCGTCCAGCCTCAGCCGGTGTGTCGTCGACGTTGTCGCTCAATTGACCGCCACCGCTCACCCCTTCGAGGCCCGCCTCTCAATTCCCAACGGCCTCGACCGCCTGCTCTTCTCTATGATTAGGGAGCACAAGGTCCCTGCTGGCCCCAGACCGGCTGTCAACCGATCCCCCACCAGGTCAGTTCCTTCACGATCGCCTCCTTCCGTCTCGAGGCGCACTTCAATATCCCTCTCCCAGGGATCCTACTGACACGCCCGGCACCAGAAGCAAGGACAACACCAGCCCTACCAAGCAGCTGTCCGCGACACGGACTCCCGCCAACGGCCCGATGCTCAGCGCTTCGTCGTCCAACAACCACTCCCTGTTTTCTTTCGGTAATCGCAATGGAGCGTCTGCGGAGGTAGGGGAGTCGACTGGTTCTTACGACTTTCTCCCCTCCGTCAGCTTCGATGACCTCCAGAGCAGCTTGGAGTCAGCATCCACAGAGTTTAAATTGACACAATTCCCGTCGCCGACGGGCCAGGGTAGTATATTAGAGGCAAAAGGGATGGTCGACAACAAGATGGTTGAACAGCAATCCAATGTGACCCATAGCGGAGGTAGCACCCGTGTCGCCATCCAGCCTCCGCCTCCTCCCACGCGGTCGAGGACCGGATCGATTCTTCGAAGGCCGAGTGTCACCGGTAGGCAAAACACAAACAGCATTTCTTCGACAGCATCGATAGCAGACGCTCCTACAGCGCCCGCCGCCATGCGTCCTCGCCGCCAGAGCCAGTATCCTCCAGTCTCCAATAGCAACATAGGGAAGCCGCCAAGGAAATCGGTTGGCCCTGGTGTCTTTGATTCGGACTATGGCACTCGTGCTTCGCAGAGGCGACGGCCAAGCCTCGCATCGAATACTGACAGGTCTGGTGTGGACTCTACCCGGTCTTCAGTCGATGGCGGCAGTAGATTGGGGGATACATCACGAAATCTAACTGCTTCACGGGCATCGAAGACCAAATCTGTTCAACCTCCGCCTCGAATCAACCCACCAACTCTGTCTGCAGACAACAGCACCCTAACTCCGGAGCAAAACCGCTCATCTACTCTATTTCCTCGGTCGCCAAGGGCTAGCAAGCAGCTTCCCCCTGCACCGGGGTCTGGCAAGCGTATGTCCGTGATGCCAGGCGTTCCTCATGCTTCTCATGCCACTGGACTTGGCGCGAGGACTATAAGCCCGACGGACACACGACGAATGAAGCGAATGTCTATGCATCCTTCGCCAAATTCCACTCCGACCGCGAATCCTCCTCTGCCCCCGAGTGCTCCAACAGAAGTCCGAGCCTCGTCACGTTCACCATCCATGGTTCCTCGAAAGATTTCTACCCCATCCTCCTCGAGGACGACGCCGGACCCGAATAGGAAGTCCTTTAGTTCAGGTCTCTCTGTCGGCTCAACCACAAGCTACAACACTGTGCGAACGTCTACTGGATCAATCCAGCCACGCATTGCTCCCAGCGGTAGTTCTCGGCTGCCAGCCCCGAAAGCGTTGAACATGCACAATCCTACGAATGCCGATGACGAGGAAGATGTCCCCCCGGTCCCTGCTATTCCTAAGGCATACGAATCACCCAAGGACTCGCCGGCCGAACTTTCATATTTTGATAAGAGGAAATCGAATTTTGCCTTTGATGCCAGCAGCATTCATAGCAACTCCACGGGAAGCTTGTCAGGTCTGCCGGTCCTTGAGCCGACGAAGGTGCAACGGAAAGCCAGCACACGCAAAACAAGCCAAAATGTCACCCTGGAGTTGGACAAGAAGGGTTCAGTTATGCAACAGAAGAAGAATCTGAAGTCGTTGCACTTGCCACCAATCAATTTGGGGCCACTGAGTACACCCACTGTTGCAAAAATTGCAGCCTTACAGGATAAGGGTTACTCAGATGGAAACCTTAGCCCACCTCCAGCAAGGCAGGCAGCTAAGACGCCAACGACCCCAATGACTGCCTCGAAAAGCACATTTTTCGGTAGAAACAGGCCCGATGACAAGGCTGAGCTGCATTTGAGGAGTAGCAGCTCTATCCATCATAGTCGAATGGACAGTCCTCTTGCTGCAGACAACACTAGCTCATCTGAATCGATCACTGGGCGGAAAGCAAAGGGTACTGCACAGAAGTCATCAATTTCGCCATTCCTTTCATCTTCTGTTCCCAAGACGGCGGGTATCGAACAGCCTACATTCTTGAAAAGATCAAAGACGGGTGGTGATGTCACAGCACCTGCTATCCCATCCTCAGAACCTGTTGCTCATCAGAAACCCTCGGGACCACGTGCTCAGAAAGGTGTCAAACCACCTCCAAAATCGCCTCCACCTCTGTCGAGCCCTGAGGAGCCTGCCACTCCTTCGTCAATCACCTCCCTAAGACGGAAACTGAGTTTATCCTGGAAACGAAGCCAGTCTAAGAACAGCATCAGCCATCCACCTGCTCCAACAGACAAGACAAGTGATCAGACGCATGCTAAGCAAGATAGTATGCCCCCTCCTCGTATACCAGTGTCATCAACCGTGAACAGCTTCACTACGGTCAAACCACCAAGCCCAACTGCTTCAACCAAGACCAATGGATCTTACCTTGAATCACGAAGACGCAAAAGCTCTGCCTCCAGTCTCAATGCAATCATGGCTCATGAGAGAAATGGGAGTAATACATCATGGGTGGCAGAACGCACTGCAAAGACAGATGCTGCAGCTGATGGCTCTGGCGAGCGCTCATTCATGTCTCATACCCACTCATCATCTGTTATGCAAAAGATTCTGAAGTCAAAGGCTTCAACTAGCACTCTTCGACATCTGGACGTTTGGACAGCTGAACTAGACAAAGATGATCTGATTGCTGAAGAGGAGATGAAGAGGCTAGGACTGCGACGTAAGGAGACTGAGCTGGCGGCTAAGACTTTGGATGCCCTGAAGAAGAGAGCTAGTCCAAAGGAGCGGGTCAGCCCGCAAGATGCCATCAGGATAGCTATGTTGAATATATATGAGCGAGGTGAGATTGTCGATTACAGCGACATCTATTTTTGCGGTACGCAGAATGCCGCGAAGGTCGTTGGAGATCTCAACTCTGACGTTCCCAACTTTGGCTATGATGATGAGCGAGGAGATTACACCATCATCCCAGGAGATCACCTTGCTTATCGATATGAGATCATTGATGTACTAGGAAAGGGAAGTTTCGGTCAAGTTGTTCGATGCATTGATCACAAGACTGGTGTTCTGGTGGCTGTCAAGATCATCCGAAACAAGAAGAGGTTCCATCAGCAAGCTCTTGTCGAAGTCAACATCCTACAAAAGCTTCGCGAATGGGTAAGAGCATTCCGGATGAGCATGAAACATCGATACTGACGAGCGGTTACAGGATCCCAAAAACAAGCACAGCATGGTCAACTTCACGCACAGTTTCTACTTCCGTGGACATCTTTGCATCTCAACCGAACTATTGGATATGAATCTTTACGAATTCATCAAGTCCAACGCATTCCGTGGCTTCTCGCTAAAGCTCATTCGCCGTATGACAAAGCAAATGCTTAGCTCCTTGAACCTTCTCAAGCAGCATAAGGTTATTCACTGCGACTTGAAGCCGGAAAATATTCTCCTAAGACACCCACTTCACTCCGAGATTAAAGTCATCGATTTTGGTTCCAGCTGTTTTGAAAACGAGAAGGTATATACTTATATCCAGTCCCGATTCTACCGCTCCCCTGAGGTCATTCTCGGCATGACATACGGCATGCCAATTGATATGTGGAGTCTTGGCTGCATTCTTGCCGAGTTATATACGGGGGTTCCCATCTTCCCCGGCGAAAACGAGCAGGAGCAGTTGGCCTGCATCATGGAGGTGTTTGGGCCGCCAGAGAAGCACCTGATTGAGAAGAGCACACGGAGGAAGTTGTTCTTCGACTCGATGGGCAAGCCGCGCCTGACTGTCTCATCCAAGGGACGACGGCGGCGCCCGTCATCCAAGACCCTGCAGCAGGTCCTGAAGTGCGACGATGATGCCTTCCTCGACTTCCTTGCGCGCTGTCTTCGGTGGGATCCTGATCGACGAATGAAGCCCGATGAAGCTATCCGCCATGAGTTTATTACCGGCCAGAAGACATCCGTGCCGGTCCCTCGGGCATCGATTCGGGATGCGTCGCCTATCAAGCGCCACAACACAATATCGACACCTCGACCACTGCCCGATCCGCCCGGCCTTAAGGGCGGCGCCAGCCTTAGGCCGCGGGATGCCACCGGCGTCGTCGGCATTAGCCCGATCAAGCCAGGGTTTGGTTCCCGGAGAGCGTCCGGCATGACCGCAACATCCAGCACCGCCGCGGCGAAGCGCACCAGCACAGGCGCCGGGGGAATCACTCTGGGGACCAGCAACCTCCCGCGGGCGGCTGGTCGCAGTGTTAGCGCCAAGCAGGACCTAGCAGCTGCGGGAGCGACGGCCGCCATGAGCCGACGAGCATAGAGAGCGCGGAACCTGGTGCGGACAGGTGCAGATGGAGATTTAATGGACGAGACGTTCTCGAGTCAGCTCTAGCTGGAGCTGAACGTGGCCATGGTCCCTTGTTACAATGACGAGGCAACAGAGTCTTCTCTCGGTCAACACAAGGCAGACAAACGATGGGGGCGTTTCGGGACTTCAGTGCTCTGGACGGGTAACCGACAAGTGATGAAATGACTTTTTTCTATTTTGGTTGTCTGGATTGCGCAAAGGGGCCTTGAAGATCTCCCTCCTCACATCACATAACATGACATTATACTATAAGCAAGGAAGCAGGGACGAGAAGGGGGCTGGGGCTGGTTGATGAAGATACCACCGCATTTGGCTGCTTGCATTGTCACCCTTGCATACAAACTCCTGTTTTTTTCTTCTATTCACGACTTTCTCTGCTCTCGAACCTCCATCCCTCCTTTCTCCCGTTGACGATGCTAGCTTCTACGGTACTAAGATATTATACGGGATACCCCCCCTTTGCACCCCCCCTGTCTGTGGGGTGGCGCACGGGGAAACGAAGAGAACGAGACGAATTGTTTTTTGAGTTTTTGTGGAAATATTAGACAAAGCCTCTAAGGATGCCTTCCTGCTGCTGCTACTGCTGCTGCTGTTGCCTTAGGGAAGGATGATGCGAAAGAAGAAAATATGAACGCAGGGCTTCAACTTGAATGCCCCTGATGCTTTGAAAAAACCTATAGAAGGACAGTGACGATGGCTCAGCTCCGCCATACGAAACGTGAAAAGATGATGTTCTCGGTGTGATTAGCGTGGCTTAGATAATGCTGCTGTTGGCGATATGCAAGCGTCAGGGGACAAATTCCTGTTTTGGGTCTGAGGGATGGATGATGAAGAAGAGTTGTTTAGACTACCAGGGCTTGGGTCAAGGGGGGCTCGTGCCGATCGAGTCCTAGCTGTCTGCCTCCGCCGCCTCAGCTGAACCTTTTTGATAGCCGCTCGGTAGAGGGAACACGAGAGATCTGACACCATGTGGCTGATGATTAGCCATGCTGTACTCGCCGAGTACTGCTGATGGCCCAGAAACACCGTTAGAGTTGTGATGTAATTGCTGATGTGACAATCCTTATGCACGACACACCGTGATTACGCCAGGGGCGGATGTGCGCCATGTGTGATGCCAATGGGATAGGAGCTTGGGGGCTGACGCTGAGGAGCCCAAAGGAGAGTATATTCGTATCAACAACCAAGAACAATACAGACATAGCAGCTGAGAATGTACTTAGTATGATAGAGAACATTAGGTATATTTGTGATTGAGTCACAAATTAAACTTTGGATTGAATTTCTTCCAATAACATGTCTGCCGAGATGGACAGTTCCCCACAAACCGTATGATGCTTCCTAAGCTAGGTTTGTTTGTGATGTATGACATGTGAGGTATCTCTTATTCTTTCGAAGACTTCAAGTCTCAGTCTGATAAACGCAACCTTATGGAAGGGTATTTGCGTGTAAACTCAGACGAGGAATCAAAATGCGCGGGAAGGTGAGACGGAATGGCAAACTAAGCCAGGCAAGCAAATCTAGAACGTGGGACACGCGGGATCTTCCCGTATTCCTGGAGGAGGTCCATCTTTGTAGAGTACTTGTGTTGAAGACAGAGTACTTTACAGCCAAGACAGACAGTGGTGTGTATCTAGGCGTATGAGCAACTCAAGTCGAATTATGAGTCTAATGTGGCACGGCATCAACTGATGTCCCCACTAGCCGCGGGAGCCGGTAGTTCTGTTCATATCCTGCCCGGTGTTGAAGTTGAGGAGGATCAAGGAGACGTCAGTCTAGACCGTCATCACCAACTTTGGGACATCACGGGAGCATGGACCACAAAGAGGGCTGTGATAGCCCTGTAAGCAAAAATAACTTCCAACGAGAGATTCCAGTTGTGCCTCCGCAAACTGCGGTTCGGATGGTGTGGGAAGGTTGAACAGTGCCTTCTCCCTACCCTAGGCAAGCTGATCATCCCTGCCAATAACTGTATTTGGGAGGGGAGTCAAGATAGAGGCGGCACCGCTTGGTGTAAAGACTGCAGAGCATGGCGGCGTAGAGTACGCGGTGGCGGCAAGGGTGTCATCCCGGGGATTAGGAACAAAAGTCAAGTCCATCAAAGAGGTTATCGTTGTCCTGTTGGGGTCCGCGGGAGGCTTATCTCCATAGCGGTTGAGCCCGGGTACATGGCTGTCCAAGTTCCCTGACACCATTGCCGTGGTAGGATCCTGTCCTCGAGCTCTGGTAGGATGGATCGATCTGAGGCTGTCCTGTGATGGGTGGTGATAGTAGGATACTCCCTGGAAAGCTAGACCAGGACAACAATAGCTCGCCATTCACAACGGATGCCCGGGAGTGACAGGTAAGTGGCAAAGCAGCAGCAGCCATGCCGCCCACTAATAGAACACAGAGATGGCATAGACTCCTTGCGAAAGTCCGTGGCAGGGCGTCAAACCACACACACGCACACACACTTGGTATGTTTCACCGGCCGTTGAGCCCATTTAGAGATGACTCCTGTCAACGGTCGTGGAAGGACAGAACAGACATGGCAGCCTGTGGCTTGGTAGATGACAAAGGTACCCGGCACTAACCGGATCGGGCTTCATCCTTCAGTCGGATGAATTTGCAGGCGTATCGTTGGACAATGGGGAAATTAGCAGTTCTCGGAGACCTGATATTTTTGGGAGGAGAGGCAAAACTAGTGCAGAGGATAGATAGTACAGAGAAGATCCCACAGAGATCTCGCAGGGCAGACTCAGCAGCGATGATGGAAAGTCAGGCGCCCTTGGACGTTGATGAAGTGGCTCAATCTGACAGACCGTGCGACTGGCACATTGAGGCGGTCGGAGGGCTCGGAGGGAGGCATGAGGAGGAGAAGGAGGATGATGATGAACGGGGGTAGATTTCAAATACGGAACCTTGTGAGAAACTCAATGGTATCATAAGCCTCGACTACTCGTGTGCGATAGCCCTCGTGGGGAGCGCTTGCATCAAGGCCGCACATAGTATGGCGTAGTATGGCATAGTATGGAATGTCATCGAGAGACCATCACACTTATCGCTCCGAGTCCGACTTGATCAGCAATGACTTCTGCCTAAACGCCCAGGGTACTAAAAGTCCAAAGCAGAAGATGAGTAAATAAGCAGGTAAGTAGACGCTACCTACATTGAGTACAGATCGGATCTGTCATTAGGTAGGTAAGGTAAGGTATGGTAAGGTAAAGTTAGGTAGACCTCGAGGTTGAGGTCATATTTCCGCAAGTTTACTGCGGGCGCTATGGGTTCCGCCCGGAGACACCGAATTTTTCGGCCTACCTAACTTGAGCTAGATGGTCAGAAGGGCGGGCACCGGAAGAGCAGGAGCACCAGCGCAAGCAGACAATACAAGGAAGGAACGCGAGTGAACATGCGGGCAGGCGGGGCAAGTCCTAGAGCAGCAAGGCAGGAACCACGCAGACAGCCACAGGAAGGCGCAGCCCACCGATTACAGTCGTAGTGGCCGACCGGCTCTTAGCAGAGGAGATACCTCCCCCTCCACCCACATCCATACATACATACCCGTCTGTCTAAGACATACAGCGCGGGACTCAGAGGAAATCTAAGACAGACAGGGGCATGGCGAGGCCGTCCACATGACGCGATTCGTCAGCTTGCGAGCGCACATCACCCCGCAGAAGCCCGTCTCTCCTCGAAGGACTCGGGACTTGCAATGCTTGGGATCATTGTATTGCAGTAGGCGCGCATACTAGCTATGCAGCCAGTCTTCTTCGAGGTCATGCCCCCGTGCTGCTTGCATCTGATGACGAATACTAACCAGACTCAAACCTGGCAATTCCGATGGTGAACGTGAATAGTACTGACTGCTATACACTTGACCTCTGATAGCGACAGATGCATGTCCAGCGAGCTAGAGTCGGTGACGGACGTCAGGGTGAAGACCTGGAAGGAGATGCGAGGTCTTGTCATCACTCTGGACCTCAACAAGACAGCAGTGAGGCCCACCATGGCGGACTGAACTTGACAGATCTCGGCAAGTGGATAGACAACACCATGTCATGCCTAGCAAGGGCCATGCGGCCGAAATTTTGGGCTCGGTGAACGGTGAGAGAGTGGTGACTGGCCAGGCGCCAGGTTTCAGGAGAAGCGATCAGAACTGGTGACTTTCTAGGACCTCACTTGGCAGCATGCTGCAGATTGCTGAAGAGAGAATGGACCGATTTGTTTCAAACCATGCACCTTGCGCTTCAGCCGCGACCTGAGGGGTCTATCCAGTATGCGACCTCCTGCAGTAGCTTGTGGATGGTTAAGTCCTACCAAAAATCAGTCCCTGCATCACCTCGGCGAGGATGAGTTAAAGACAGCATCACTGTACTACCAGTAGCCCTACGGTCACTCACACCGAAATCAGCTTGCCAGCTGGCTATCGGGCCTGAAGGATGTAAGATGATGCTATTCTCACAGGGCATTTAGGGCCTGGGTTACCTCACAGCTTTTCTTAGATGAGCCGTGCCACACAGTCAATGTCTTGACTCCCAGGCAACAGCTTAACAATGCCCGGCCGAATAGCTTCGAACGGCAATTTCAAAGCGTTTCTATGGATATTTCCACCGAAGCCTCGGTGTACAGTACTTCTGTTTCTATCTCTTCTGATTGTCTGCAAGCATGGTACTTTACCAAAGCTACAACACTGTACCCGGCGAAGGATTTGCGATGTGTTACACGGACGGATAACAGTAGTGCACGCGGCGGCGCTTAATGACAAGGTGCCGCCGGGCAAACGCATGGAACGAATTGTTCAGTGATCTGCACGAGGTCTTCCCATAGTAGTATCTAGATAGATTCGGACGGATTGTTGTCCTTATCGGCCGGGCGGCCAACATGTGGAAGAGCCGCCACCCCGGAGCCGTTGAACCCCAACCCTCCTCGCCCCCGGGGTTGACAGGCAGATCGAGAGGAAGGACATTGCA